AAAAAAAAAAAAAAAAAAAAACTTTCTCAAACAACAAAATGCAGTATTTGAGCTTACTTTTTCTTATTAAGGAAACGTATACCTGCTTCCATGAAACAAAGAATTGCACTGTACCTTTTCCTTCCCAAGCATCAAAGGCATCCATCATTTTCTTCAATTCTGCTACTGAATAGTAGCTCCAAATGTACTGAACATTATTTCCTGCCTCTCTAGAAATATTGCAAAAAGTAATGAATATACTACCTAAGTATGAGTGCATGTACACATATACAGCTAACAGACACTCAATAAATGCTCGTTAATTAAGGAAAAAAATATATAGGCATTGAATAGTTGTTCTGTGACCCTTAAGCATATACATGCACTCATAAATATATATTATACAATATACATATGTCATATACTAACCTACATTTCATCTCTTTTTACAATGGTAAAATATTTGTTAATTCCATAATATAGATGGTGTAGAAAAATCAATACAGGTTCAAAATCAAGTGTTTTTAAACAAATCACCAACTCCAGTAAACTTAGAACTAAGATTCAACTTTGACTAAAACTTCCCTAGCATTAGGCAAGCACTTATACTCATATATCTTAAATAGAAGCATCCCAGGCTATGAAGAATTCAGAAACTGATGACATATTTAATCATCTAAAAAGCAAGCTTATATTGTCATGCATTAGTCATTAATATGTGACCCAATCCAATCTCCCAGAGAATTTTTTTAAAAGTTTGCTAAGTGAATTGACCAGTGTAAATAAGATTATAGGGCAAATATTAAGAGATTAACCCTTAAGGATTTAACACATTCAAGTCATAGAATTCTAAAGCTGGAAGGACCAGGGAAGTCCTTCATCACTTCTCAGAAGAGGACACCAAGGTGCAGACCAGCCCTGGGTCACTCAGCAGGCCAGCTGACTTATGGGCCGAGCTTCTACCCAGAGATTATGGCCTACAGAAGATACCAAGCATGTGGCTTTGCTTTTCTTTCTTTTCTTTTTTTAAAGCCTCTCAGGGGATTCTGATGCATACTCCCAGTTGAGAACCACTGTCTAGACCATGCAGATGGACTGTGGCTTATGTATGTGTGAAATGGCCTTAATCATAAGCTGTTCATGAAACAGGCCTATCTCGATAGCTACCAAGGCTCACTTTGCCTGCTGAGGTATTGATGGTCTTTTCTAGTCAAGCACAAAATTCCATTTAATAAAACCTCTTAGAAGAAACCAAGACTTTATTTTGTTCTTTTTCACATTTAAATTTGGACATACCTTTTAAAAATGCTTTTACTGTGAATTCTTCCTCCCAGCTGCTTGTCAATAGCGTCTGTACCGTCAGTTTTTGTGGCATATACACCAATAATTCTACTCTCACAGCTTGCACCAGATGTGTTAAGATAGTGGAGAACCCAAACTGTTGGTTTATTGCAAACTAAACCATACGAATCACAGAAGTCTGTTAAAGCCTAAAGCAAAAAAATATATAAAATTTGAATTCAATTCTGGAGTAAAATTAAAAATGAGTTTGCTTTGTTACTCTGATGAACAGCTGTAATTTCAGCTGGTCATAAGGCAAATTAAGAAATTATAAATTTTAGACTAGTCTTCATGCCTTTAAAAACCAAACATGCATTTGTTGAATTAACTGGGGGAAGTGGGAGACAATCACAAAAAGTACCAACTGAAAACCCAAAACTTTTTCATTTAGAGAATCCCTTTTCATATGGAAATTCTATTTTTTCTTCTCCTTTAGCCTGCCAATATCACTTTTAACTTTATAATCTTTATAAAATCTAATCTTTATAACATCATTTCTCCACTGCCAATATCACTTTTAATTTTATAATCGTCATATAATAACTAAAAGTTAAATCTTTTCTTTTTCCTTTAGAACATTTCCTCCAAAATTTCCCATTTGACTTAATCCTCCTTTCACCTTCTACTGACTAATCCCATGGCTGACCCTTACATTTAACTCCAAATTCCAATCATGTATTAACCAGATTAACTTGTTCTTTTACACTGAAAGATATGAATATATGAACTCAGTACATTCTGTCTGAACTCATTTGGCATTTATCTACCTATTCATTCATTCACTTGAATATTAAGTACCTACTATGTGCTAAGCATTGTCTGTGATACATGTCCTGGTCATATAATGGCAAACAAGAGGCAGAATCCCAGCCCTCCTAGAGTTTTTAGCTAATGCAGAAGATGGACATGAAATAAGTCATAGGCACACTGCATAATAAGTGCCACCAGGTGAGACTAGTGCCTCCTCAGGCATGGAGGAGGAGGGTTTCACCCAGAGGAGTGGCAAGAGCCTTCCCTTGGACAAACGGCATGACTGCTATAAGCCCCCTAAGGAAAGGCATTTCTGTCTGTTTTGTTCACTGATGTACCCCATGTGTATGGAATGGTGCCTGACACAATGGAGATGCCTAATATTTACTGACTCAGTGAATGAAAATATGGCCCTAACCTGTCATGTACTTTCATTTAATATTGCTATCTAACTCCTGTATTGGTTTTTAATTTTACTTGTACATCTTTATGAATTCCCAAGTATACTATACACTATTCAAGGGCAAGAACTCCATGCTGTATTTCTTGGTGTCCCAAACAGTCCCTTTTACAGTGACATATATGTCAAACATGTGCAATAAATATGTGTTGGCTGACAGAATGAATGGGTGCATGCTATGTCCTTTCTGAATACACACCAGGAATAAAAGACTGTTGAGTTGGGATCTCCGAAGACGATTGCTAACCGCCCCCCAACCTTCCAGCCAGGATTTTTTTTAGCCCCATTCTGCAGATGTGGCAAACAGCACTAAAAGACTATCATTTGACAATTCAATTTATAAATAATTTCATAGCAGAACCCATGCAAACATGCAAATTCCTGAAGGGGATCTGGAACCAAATCAACTTTCTCTTCACACAGCACTCCTAATAACCAACCACCCATCAGTTTGCTCCCTAACACTGACATCCCAATCAAAGAATTCAAACCAGTTCAGATCAGTTTTCACTATTGATAATTATCTAGGAAAAATATTTTTCTCAGATGTCCAAAGGTGCTAGTTAATAGCAAATATAATACTTCCAATAATACAAAAAACAGATAATGAAGCTTTTCAAGTCATATAAAGATCTTTAAAATGTGATTTAAAATAGAAGTGTCTTAAAAGATTTACTGATCCCAAAGTGAATTAATCATACTAATGTTTTAACTTAGTAACAAACTGTTACACTCCCTAAATCTGGCAAGAGATTTTATTATTTATCATGACCATTCTTTTAAAAAATAATTTTAGTAAACAAAATAATACCACTATACCCTCAAATAGTACAGTATTTCTCTTAATTTAAAAAAAACTTCAGGAGCAAAATAGTTCTATAAAAAAGCCATCAAAAAAGTGTTAAATCTTCAATGAGAAATAGAAACTCAATAAACCTTTCAGTAGCAATGTCACATACTTTCCTAGAACAGAATTTTGGCTTTAAAAAATGAGGAGTATATATTAGTCTGCTTAAAAAAAAAAAAAAATGAGGAGTAGTAGTAATTAAGCAATGTATCTTCAAGAATTACAAAAGTCTCATGTTTGGTTTATGTGACAATACAAGCTATGCAAAATAATACATATCACTTTGTGCACAATAAATAAATAAATATATTTTAGAACTTAAGAAAATGCCAAGACCTTTTTAAGTTCTATATTTGACCTTAAAGAATATGTTTCCATTTCATTGGCCAAGTGGTCAGACAGGCTGTATGGATAAGGGATACCAAAGTAATCAGCTTCTTCCTGCAGGGCAATGCGGGTATGTTCATCTGTGGGAATCTGAACTTCTCCATGAAGGTAATCCAAAAGGTATTTAAACAGATGTCCATCACGGTCAATAACACAAGCCCCTAGAAAACATTCAGTTGAAAAATGATTGCATAGATTCATATGACGATAAATAAAACTTCAACAAGTCAAACTAGATCTGAGGATCTCTACAATTAGAAGCATTTCTTTCTCACAAGAAAGTTAACACCTAGTGTTCAAAGAGGTTTGGTCAATGAAACTAAGCTAGACTTTTGATTCTTCACTCAAACAGCAAATATGATATAACAGCAACACTTGGCTTACAAACAGGGGATATCCTAAAACTGAATTTGACTGGGTTGTTTAGGAAAATCACCTGTATTTCTATAGCACTGAACACAAACACATATCACCAGGGTGAAAGTATTGGTTGTGTGGGTGTGCTATGTACACTGGTGCCAGGCCAAGGGGGTGAGTGAGGCTGAAATCAAGCCCATTGTCTGTCACTAAGCCACACACCCTGGCATGGAACTGCATCTTCCTGGATAAAAGGGCACCCTTTTCTAATCTGCACAAAGAGATTGTATGACTTAGTGATGGACCTCTGCATTCTCACCCACCATACAGGAGAATGTATTCTGAGACCCATTTGGAACTTTGGATGTAATGCCTATGTTCCCACTGTGGCCACTGCAAAGGCCAAGAAGAACTCAGATTGCTGGTAGAAAAGGAAACTTACCCCCAACCTCAGCCCAGCTGGACCAGGACGGGCATGTGGGGTGCTCGCTACCATGTACAGCATTTGTATGTCAGCAACATGACAAGCCTGGGGTTCCTAGCTCCAAGCATACCATGTATTTGGAATTATTAGGTTAGTCCCTTTGTACTATGAGAACCTAAACTTTAAAAAGGAAGAAAAGTTATGCTGGCACTACTTTATAATAAAAGATTTTTCTTATGACAATTTAGCAGAATTAAGAAAAAATAAAATTGCATAGGGTTACTCAATACCTCCTTTTATCCCTTGATTAGCTTAGAAAAGAAAGGATTAAAAGAGTAAAACTTGAGGGTAGAGAAGAAACCTCAATCCCTGCTTACCACCTTTTCACCAATAACCTTTCTGCCCAGGTGGACATAAAGCCCTCGGCACCAGCCACTGGTGACTTTTCCATTTAGCTGGCAGAGCAACCTCCCAAGACCCAGGGTTATTAACAATAAAACAGCCACTTACATTCAAGATTCCACAATCCTTCTCCTCTAACACAGAACCAAGAGTGGGTGGAGGGGCTCACAGATAGTACAAAAAGCCTCAGTGGAGTTGGTAAAGTTTCTTTACAAGAAGTAGTAGATTCAGTGAATCCCAAAGCACTTGTAGCAGAGAGAGCAGCCCCAGAACCCTACCTATGTATATTAGTTTCTTCTGAAACACAAATTTTCAGTCAACTGCCACTGAATGACTGACAGTATCACTGCCCTGACATTTTCTCAGCCATGCACGTCGGCCCATATAAGACTACAACAGCTAGACTAGGCCATGAGTATAACACTAATTTTACACTGATGAACACTGTTCTGTCTGTCAGCTATGAGGGCAGCTGCTTTCTCCAGAGAAATACATTTTCTAACTTGAAGAACACAGAGAAAAGCTAATATGTTTAATCAGCTGCAATACTTTTACCCATGAAGCTGAATGAAAGTAACTACATTTGACTTTCCAAATATAGTTCATTCCCATAATTAGGTCATGGTTGGCCTTTACACACTCACTTCTTTGTCAACTTTGCAACAGCATCACAGATTTTAGGAACCAGTATTTAATTTCTCCGTGTACCTAATGAATCTCTACACAGTCCTAATGATCTCAGTAATTAGTATACTAACCCAATCCCTTCCATTGTAATTAAGAAAATCAAAGGGAATTTAAACTGGACTGCTATGTTAATGAATATTCACGATCATGCTTCAGACTTTAGGCATTTACCTGACTCATCTGTTTTTAGAGGAAAGCGACCACTGAACATAGACGCCAGCATAGAGTCCTTAAAGCGGCACAGGGACTCACGCCGGGCTGTATAAATACAACCCCCCACGTTCAATCGAAGAATGTCTAGCACCTCTTTTTCTGCCTCATGGCCTTCCATTGCTGCCCGAACGCCGGAATGTTTGCCTCACCACACTTTCAGAAACTTCATAACAATGGCAGTCTTGGTGCCTCTCTGTAAAAACAAAGGACAGTCGGCACTGACATTTCCAACAATACACTAAATAGACAGCAAAATAAATACATTTTAATGTGATTAATTCCTCAGTACTAGCAATATTGAATTGAAGGACTTTAAATAATATTTTTAAAAGTTTGAGATATGCTGAGAAACTGGAAAATGTTGGCTCAGAAGATTTGTAAAAGATAATAAAGTATTACCAACCACATTACAGCTGTTGAAATGACTGTTTAAAGAATTAAACAAGACAATACATGGTCCGTCACATATAAAGCAAAGGTGAGGCAGGCTTATGATCTTTAGTATTCACACATCTTTTCAACTGCAGTAAGTCTGAGGGAGCCATCCCAGCTGCAGAGGAGACCAGAGGGTAGCATGGAATTAAGCTGCTAGGCTCCACCACTTATCAGCTCTGGGGCTTTGTGCAAATTACTTATCTTCCTCTTCTGGTTTCCTCATCTATAAAATGAAGGCAGTGATCATGCCTACCTCAAAGGACTACCAGAGGAATAATTATCAGATCATATAACAAGCATTTAGAACAGTCTCTGGCTCAGAGTCAGTACTCAATAAATGGTAAATATTATGTATAATGACATAAACTTTACCATAAGGTGTATACTGAGGGACTTGATATTGACTCTGGAGATTTGAGGGAAACAAAAGAGCAGAAATTATTAACAATAATAACCATAACTCATAATTTAGGTAACTGAGAAATATGTAATTTATCAATTGAGATCAAAATTCTATGTATGCCAGTAGCCAGACTGATCTATAACTACAAATAACACCCCCAAACCATCCTGCTTCTTCACTCTAAAATGGCTGAAGCATTGGGAATGTTTTAAGGGTTTGACCTCTTAATCCATTCTGGAGATTGGTGAACCACAGGTGACTATGACTGTTTCAATGGAACCTGAAAACAACACAGTGATGAAAAAGGTACTCCCGATATTGAGAATCTGCAGTATCTATACATTTCATAGCAAGTTTAAAATGGCTGCCAAAAGGCTCAACTACATCCATGTAAGATCATTTTTACCAAGTGATCAATAAGATCCTTTTGTAGATGCTCCAATTTAGCCAGTCTCCAATAAAATGGAAAAATGAGACCATTAGCATCTGGGCTCAGTGGACAGAAACCATTATGGACCAAAGGTCCAGCCTTCCAAAACCATGTATCAGTGTGACTTCTTGCACCGTCTGAAAGTCCTGAGAGCAGCACTCTAAAGATTCATGTGAGAGAACCACCTCTGAGGCGGGATGGAACTGGTCCGCGCTGCCCCGGTTACTAGCTCCCTGGAATCCGACCTATTCTTCAAGGCCCTGGGCAAACCTCACTTCCTGCATGACATTCCCAAGCACCACCTCAAGTTAGAACCCTTGCACAGTTCTCCAAATATACATCATACATTTTATCCACTTTAATTTCTACTTTTTGGTCTGTACTGAGGAAGGCAGGGCCTGTATCACTCTTAATAATTCCCATTTACTGAATGCTTACTATGTGCCAGCCACTGTAGAGACCCTTGACAGACATTACCTAATTCACACAAAAGCCCTACTGGGTAGGAATCACTGTCCCTATTGACAGACGAGAACGGGGGAAAAAGCAGAGTGATGTGTGCAGAGGCCACACTAGTGATGCCTGCTAGGAAGTGGGAGAGCCAGCCCCAATCCGGGTCAGCAGGATCACGTCCAAGTTCTTGCTGCTGCAGCCACACCGCCTCCCTCCGCTCTTTGTTCCCTACGGCTCCTTCACTCACGAAGCCTCTGCCTATCTGCAGACCTGGTGGCTACAGGTACGCCGCAGCACCCTGAGTCCAAGGATTTAGGAGCAACTCCCCCGCCCCTCAGTCGGTCTCCCCTAGGGCAGAGGCCCACCACCATTTCAAGGCGGGGCCCCATCCTCGAAGACACCCACTTTGGCTCCCTGCTGTGTGGGAAGTGGCTGGCGCTTGAAGGTAGTGTCCCCAAAGTGTGGTTCCAATGACCACCTGCATCAAAAACATCAGGGACGCTTGGGAACATGCAGACACCGGGCCACAGCACAGAGAATCAGGTTCGCGAAGTCTGAGGAGGGGCGTTATCCGTCGCGAACCCCACTTTGAGAAACACTGCTCAAGGGGCTCACACTCCTCCCCCGAAGTGGGACGAAAGGGGAGGAGCTGGGGAGCCAGCCAGCCCCGCCGGGGTCCCCGCGGCCCGGGGACCCTGAAGCGGCCCGAAGCCCAAGCCTGCAGCCCGGGGTGCCCGTGTTATCGGCGCGGCCCGGGCCCTTCCTTGGGGCGCCCCGCCGTCTCCCGGGCCTGCCGCCCACCCGGTGCCCCGCTCCTCCTCAGGGTGCC